TGTAGTGAATACAACTACAGTTGTATATTTTTTATACTTTTGTAGTGAAGGAACAATTTTTTCTTAAAATGAATCTGCTTTTCCTAATCAATCAAAATCATTTCATTACATTAAAAAAAAAAAATTCAAAATAAAATAATGTAATTAGTACCTGTATATCTAGGAAGCATTCTTGAACTTCATATTTTAGTCCTCAAATAAATTAATATAGTTTTAAATGCATTTTATGAATTGAAATTAGTAAAATAAAAAAGCATATATGACAGTCATGAAAAATTTTCATGAAAAACAAAATCTTTTGCTTAAATAGTAGTCTGTGATGTATATACGGCGAGTATAATCTGTTTTTTTCATAATCTTATATATCTTCATTGAAAATTTGTATTTTTGAAAAGTTGCGGCAGAACCCTAGAGTTGTCATATTTTATCGTATAAAATTTATATTTGGGTTTTTATATTTATGCTATATAATTTCTTTTGTTTATCCGCGTCTGCGCAATATTATTGATTTTTGCTTTATTTAGCACGTGTACAGAATATTGCAGCAAAGAAAATATTGTATGCATTTAAAAACTTCAGATTTCTCTTATTATTATAAGATATAATAATAATAATAATATAATATAAGGCTATATTAATATTATTAATAAATCAATGAATAGTTAAAAAAACTTCTGATAAAAGTGTTACAACTACGAACTAATTGTGCGCTCAAAATTCTGTGAACTTCTGAGTTGATTAACTGAAAATACCAATAAAAATACAATCACAAACTTTAAATTTTAAAATCACACAAACAGGAAATAGTGAACCTACTAAAACATAATTTGCTTTATCTAGGTAAGCAGTATACTAATAAATATTTATTTAAAATATAAACATAAACATTGACTCAATTTAGGAGTATAAGACTGATGTCAGCGTTTGTTTATATAGTATATAAATTTAGTAGGTGGCGGAGTTCTCCGTTCATCTAGTATTAATTATTAGCAGCAAGTTTCATTCAGACGCAAAGACGTTGTGCAGCAAGGTCCACCCAAGCCCGGGCGCCGCGCGGAGCGTCTGGGCTCTGCCCTGGCACGGCCATAGTATGGCAGAACAGCACGAGAATGAAAATGAAAACAATAACGACAACGATAGCTCAGAAAATTTAATATCATGTTCAGAAAGCACCGAAATGTTGATCCAGGAAAGTGCGAGGGATCTTTTCGATATCGTAAAATCTGGGTACGTAATTAATAGAATCTAAAAATGTCTAAGCATTATGCAAATTTCACTTCCATTCCAGAGATTTACCGAGTTTGGAAAATCTTCTAGAGCGATTAGATCCTGATGTTTTATCTGCCACAGACATGCATGGTTATACTGCAGCGCACTGGGCAGCCCTGGACGGGCATGTGAGTCTGGTTCGGTGTCTAGTCCGGCACAGTGCACCTGTCGATCTTTCTTGCTTGGGAACCCAAGGACCCAGACCTATTCATTGGGCTTGCAGAAAGGGTCATGTGGCATTAGCGCAAGTTTTACTGCAAGCGGGAGTTAGTGTAAATGCGGCGGATTTTAAAGGTAAATGGTTAAACTTGATCCTACCTATATCACATAATATTTTTTGGAAATTCTATGTTTTGATTTACAATTACTTGTTGATCTATAATATGCTTGTTAATTTTTGTATAAAACGAGAGCCTATTCGTCAGTGCCACTGCTGTGAAAATATTATAATTTATGTTTATTATATTTTAAGGTTTGACCCCTTTAATGACTGCTTGCATGTATGGCAGAACTGCGACGGCAGCTTTTTTATTGGAATGGGAGCCCTAAATCATTTAACAGATATAAACGGTGATACAGCTCTTCATTGGGCTGCTTACAAAGGTATACTATTTTTTCTTATCTACTGCTTTTAAGGGGGTCTTCCTATGTGATGGCCTGTTTTTTAGGGATATTTTAGGATTTTAGGGATATTTAGAGCTTCAAGTTTTTTATCATTTATTAACACATATTTGGACAGTATAAATATAAAATTTCAGCTAAAAATTTAGTCAAACTAGAGTTACAGCGCTCTGAACACCCCCGCCTCGAAAAAAAGAGCTCCCACTTCCTCCACGATTTCGGCTGATCGTTATCTGAAAAAAAAAAAATAAACGGCGTTTTAATTTGTAGGCATAAAAGCACGGAATGACCTATAATTAAATGAATATAAAAAAATTGGATTTTTGATAGACATTTGAAATAAAGTTGCAAATTAGGCGTTTTTTTTTGTTTTTTGCTATTTTGCATTTCAAGTAATTCGGTCCAGCCGTTTCTGAGATACAATGGAGGAAAGTTTGAAAAACACAGTTTTTGAGAAAAACGCGTTTAAAGTTTCAACTGCCAACTCAGCGCTCTCGAACCGCTCTTTCTTTTACCTGCTGTATCTTTAAAACGTCTTCGAATTTTCTAAAATCGCTTTACTACCGTATTCTAGATATGTTAAGGGAGCAATTTATGAAAAAAAATCGATTTTTTCAACCCATCACATAGAAGACCCCCTTAATATTTTACACATTTTATTCATATATTTTTTTTAGGACATGCTGATCTCATTAGATTACTCATATATTCCGGCGTAGAGTTGCAAAAAACGGATAATTTTGGTTCTACACCGTTGCACTTGGCTTGTTTATCAGGTAATTTGACCTGTGCCAGGCTTCTGTGTGAGAAAAATCAAACAATTTGGAACCCAGAGATAAAAATGGAAAGACCCCTTTGATGTTGGCGCAAGGGCATAGGCATCACGACATCGTACAGGTGACAAAGTATTTTACTTATCATTTTACTATTTAATACCTAATTAATATTATTTTTTTGTAGATGTTGCGGACTGAACTGAAACGTAAATCTCGATGGATTCCACCGATTTCAGAAATTTGGGGTCTTATATTTGGAGGCGCTGGTGATTCTAAGGGACCTTTGCTTTTATTTATGGGATCCGTATTATTATGGGGATATCCAATGTATATAATCAGAGTGAGTTGAAAACACAATAAAAATTCTGATTCTATAAATGGTTATAAATATTGTCTTCCAGTGTATACCAATTACATGGAATATTCTACGTCGTTCGCATTATTGTTTTATATATTGGAACATTGTGATGTGGCTGAGTTGGATTATAGCTAATAGAAGAGATCCCGGATATATAGCAATGAATTCCGAAACATATTATCGAGCTATAAAACAAATTCCATATTATGATAAATGCAAAAAGAGGCATTTAGTATTATCAAGACTTTGTCATAGCTGTAGGTGTCTCCGACCTCTTAGAGCAAAACATTGCAGGTAATAATCATATATTTTGATTAAGATAATTAAATATACCATTTAATGGTGGTAATAATTAGTAATATTCTTGCATTTAGGATTTGTAATCGCTGTGTTTCATTTTTTGACCATCACTGCCCATTTATCTACAATTGTGTCGGTTTGCGCAATAGAACATGGTTCTTTCTATTTGTGATGAGTATCGCCATCAATTGTTCGTTTACGATTTATTTTGCATGTTATTGCGTAATGATTGAAGGATTTGGTTTATTATACGTTTTGGGTCTTATAGAAGCAGTTGTATTCTGTGCTCTGGGATGGATATTGACGTGCACTTCGGTAAGTGAATTAACTTATTTTTATTTTTATTTTAATTTATAAGTGCTTTTATTGGTTGTTTCATAATTTTTATATATTTATTTAATACAAATGTATGTAAATTAGGCTTAGTTATTTGGATTTCTGCCCTAAAACTAAAATATTATTTTTATAATTAAATAATATATTTAATTTTCTAACAATTTAAGTGTATCATATTCAATCATGGTTTATATGAAATGAATTTTATTTGAACAATAAATTGGTTTCTATTCATTTTTTGGATATTATCAATTATACATTAAATCGAATCCCAACCGGATTATATAAGTAAATCATATTAATTTATAAATATTTAATTATTAAGTGAATTATTTTATGATATTGTGTTTTTTCTAGATTCTCCACGCTTGCATGAATTTGACGACAAATGAAATGTTTAATTACAAGCGTTATCCTTATTTGCGAGACAAACGCGGTCGATATCAAAATCCTTTTTCAAGAGGTCCTTTCTTAAATTTGATTGAATTTTTTGTAACCCTTCCCGGTGAAACACTTGCAGAAGATCAGGAATTGCTTGTGGATGAGTCGATCTGAGGAACAGCCGGAAAATCCGGGAAAAATCGGAAAGAACTTTATTTAAAGGCTTCTAAAAGGAAACGATTAGAAAGGTAATAGATTTTTAATTAGGCTTGGAAATATATCGGTGGTGGATATTATTGAAATATGAATTATTTTTTATAAAAAATATAAGTGTGGTGATATTCACATTAACGGTGATCGATTCTAGTTCGGATTTTTTGTTTGATATTTACTTATAACCTAAACTTTGAGGTTTGATTTTTTCAGAAATCATGCTTTTGCTACGATTTTGATTAGTCTTAATTTGTTATCGAATAGTGTAGAGGCAATCGTTTACAACATGTATTTTAGTAACATTCAATATATTGTTTAACATACTTTAGAATATCATTGTTCCATAGTCAATCATTATTGGAAACATAAATACTTTGTTGATTTACCGAAAATATTCAATTTTACGAAATATGTTAATTGACAATCTGTATATTCCGCTCGATTGTAAAATATTTTAATAACTAGAATAAACTTGAATTATTTGGTCTTCATAGTTGAGATACCAGCCTTTGTTAAATTTTGAATTAATTAATAGTCTAATTTTAATTAAAAGCACAAACAATTTATTATGAACATGTTAACTTTATTTGTTATATATCTAAATTTTATAAATTATCTCTATAAATGTGTATTGTTATAACGCTTGTACATATCGTAAATAAATTTTGGCTATAATTTCTTCTTTTCCTTATATTTCACAAAAAAGTAAAATATATTCATCAAATCACTTTCACCTAAAGATTTGGAATTTGAATAAGATTTGCAATAATTTATCGCATTTTTGAAATTTAACTAACGAAAACTTAAAATGGACTTAAGGAGGAATATTCCTTTTCTTAAAATCTGCGACATTTTCTTATGAATTCTATTCTTTTTTTCGGGACGTAGTAACATATGAATTTTAGGCTAGAGCATTCTAATGAATTGTTACTTGAATTTGGAAAGAATTAATTTTACAACGATATTTTTGTAAAAGACATCATGCTTCTTCCTTGGGGCTATAAATTGGGGATTAGTAGAAAAGAGTCGGGAGCTGCTCCTTACTAATTTTTTGTTTTTACTGCAATATAAATATCCATTATCATAACTAAACTATATTATTCTATTTTGAAAAGTTTACTACCACTTTTCTTACCGATGGAAATTGATTTTTCATTACGAATGTCAGCACATCATGTTGATTTGTTTCAAGGTGCGGTTTTCCGACTTCACGAAAAGCGGAAATGACTGGAAACTTTTATTACATTTCCAGCAAAAGTAGTAATACATTGTCATATCAATTAGTGAAATTAGATGATTAGCGTCGTGAAGTATGAAATATAACTTATTTTCACAAAATAAGGTGAAGCTTAAAATTATGAAATTGTTTTTAATTGGCCATAGTAGCTGCTAATATGTATTATGAATGATATAATTTATTTAGAAATAAATACCTCTTTGAATTCTTTTTTCAAATAATCGTGTCTGTTTATGATTTCCTCCCAAAGATTATTTTAGCTATTCAAATCACATAAAATTTAATTCCGTTTTCGCTTCCGGAAAATGTTTACGGTCAGTGCAATTACAGAATGTTATATCTGAATTAATTGCATGTTTTGCAGAACTAAAATTGTTCCGATTTGTTCCATAATCTTCTCTACACTAACTATTACACTTACTTTTACCACTGTATTGAAAAAAAATGCGTTAAAATTGCACGATTTTTCAAAACATTTACTGTAATTATTTAAAATATAGTAATTGTGTATAAATTTAATGAAGAAACATATTAAATAGTATATATGAAAATAAGTAAAATTTTGATTTTTTGAAGGATTTTTGCATCCAGAATCTTTCATTTATTTAACTTAAAGAATTTTCAATAATATATATTATAAAAAAGGATAACATATTTTTATGGTGACACCACAAATATTATTGTCTCGTTTTATTATATTTTTCTGTTTTTAATATATATATAGTTATTTTTTCATAAATAAAAGAAGCATTTACATATTAACATTACTAATATAAAAATCATTGTTGTTCAGTTATAAGCATTTGTTATAAATTTAAAAACAAATTCTTATTTTTTTCATAAATATCAGCTGAGGATGTTTTAAGCAAAATTATTTAGGAAAATAACTAATTTCGGATAAAACAAAACGTTAACTTCGTTTTTAAATGTTAATACTAATCATATAAAAGTTGTTCTGATATTCAGATATAAATATTTGTTATTAAGTTGTAAATTCATGGCTTTTTCATAAATATCCAACGATGTTTTAAGCAAGATTATTTAGGGAAAAAACTAAGTAATGATTTCAGTGTTAACAGTAATAATGTATATGAACTTATATGAACATTATAAACTATGTGAACAGTATATAAACAACACAAAAACACAATGTTGTTTAGTTATAAATATTTGTCATAAAAATCATCAGAAAAAGCATTCATTTCATACAACTAATTAATAGTATTTATGCTTCTCTTACAATTAGTGAATGTGAAAATTTTTTTTTGCAAATTCAGAAAAAAAAAACAGCTAATGATAAAAAGCTATTCGCTATCTTAAGTTTTGGTATCAAGTTTTTAAACTAGTAAGTTTTTTTTTTAAATAAGATCGTTAATTTTTCATTAATATCACTCCACAAAACTTTAATCTCTTATTTGCTTATACCACTATTTATTTATACTTCTCTTAGTAAATGTGAGGAGAAGTAATCTTGCAAATTCAGTAAAAAGCAGCTAATGACATTAAGGCGCTCGATCTATCCGTCTAATGAATGTGCAATTACCTGGCAGCATGCACTAATTATGTCATTTCGTGCAGTAATACCTTGAAAGGAAAATATGTACAGATTCTGTGCGGTAGATATATAATTGATACGTTTCGAATATATGTAATACCATATCTGATTCACATAGGAAACATTAACTGAACATCAGATGTGGAAACTACAATTTCCACATCTGATGCGAAGCTTCGGAGAAGATGGAATTTTCTTTTGAAATTGTAATTGCAGATGAAAAAAAAAACAATTTAGATATTGCGAATATGAACTAATATATATATATATATATATATATATATATAATATATATATATATATATATATATATATATATATATTATATATAATATATATATATATATATATATATATATATATATATTATATATGTATAAAACATTGTACGTGTTTTTTGAACAGAGCATACAAAAAAATTCATTAACGACAGCTATGGGGGCGTCCATTATTCACGTGAGGTTTTTAGGGGGAGGGGGGGTGACAAAAAATCACGAAATATCACGTGGGAGTAAGAGGGGTATGGTAAGATATCACGTGTATTTATTTTTACCTTTATATAGGGGGTCCCCCTATATAAATTTACTAGGCTTCAATGATTTAGGAACGGATTCAGTCAAGTCAATGTCCAGAATATTTTTTAATATTCATACATATTATATAAAAATAAAATTAGATATGGAGTATTTTGCATTAAAGCAATTTTGCATGAACTTGTCGACATATGTAAATAATTGACTAAATTAATGAGAATTATGATTTAGTAATTTAAAATTACGTATTAATCAAGACGTTTTCTAATTGTAAGTGATAACATTCGAACAGTTTTTGAATTTTCAGAATCGGTTCTAGATTTTTGGCGAAATCGTTGAAAAAATATTGCACTTAAATGCAAATTGTAAAGATACTTATCAAAATGTGTTCTTTTTGGGTTTGATCAAATTTTTGAAATCACTGCAGCAGTTTTTGGAAAATGACACACCTTATACATACACACAAACACTCACTCATTTTTCAAATCTAGATCTCAAACGAGTCAGAATGACGTGAAACGTCGCAAAATAATAAAATTAGCAAATTGGATTGTCCGGCTAAAATAAGAAAATTCTCCTTCGGGAAGTTAATAATTACGTGTTCATCTAGTACGTGCATAAACTCAATAACTTTACAATTAATTGTGTATTTTTATTTTAGAATTTAATTATATTTTTATTTCTTTTATTAATTACAATCTGTCTTCACACATTAAAAAAAGTCAGTAATTTGGAGTATACATGAATATTTAACATTTCAACTTTGATAAAAAAAATGAAATAGAATTGCTGTCATATAAATTAAAATTTATAATATGTTATCTCAAATGAGATATTAAGTTTAGATGCAGATAAAATTAGATTACGCAACATCTGGATCTGCTATTTCACATTATCTTCAAATCTTAATAAAAATATCCAAGCAAAACGGTTCCTCCGTTCATGAATGTTTTGTTTCGCGGAAGTAAATAAAAATATTTATTTTACTACGTGTTCATTATAAGTTGCACATCTTTTGTGGCTACACACTCCTTCTTAAGAAATTTCACGATTTCTGATTTTGAAATGAATCATACGTAATTTTTGCGTTAGACCACGTACAACTTTTGTTGATGTATGTTTTTGGCCCAATTACACATTTAACAATGTCGTTATTCTGCGTAGAATGCCTTATCGCGATTGCATATTCAAGAGAATAAAAAAAATGTTTTTACGAATAAGATCACGAAAACATATTTACTTTGCTTGATTTATTATGTATATTTATTTATTTTCTAATTCATTAGAAACTGTCCCATAAGAAAATGCTCATAAGAAAGAAAACTTTAGAGACTTTTTACTATTACTATTTGGCAAGACTTTTATTGGGCAAAACTAGTATGAACTCTATCATATTAAAAATATCGTGCGTTTTGTAGCAAAATACATTTGACAAGAGTATTTTTATAATTTATTCAACATAGATTGCTTTAATTTTGAATCTACAGTACTAATTCAAATTAAACCCTCACTGAAAATCAAATCGTACATTCACTAAAACTTATAATTGAAATAAGTTTGAGCTAAAAATTATAAACTATAACGTGAGAGCCGATTTTTGATCTTTTGTCGACGATTTCTCAGAAACAGCTGGATCGATTTCAAAATTTAAAAGCGATTCGATATAATTTGATGAGGATTAGCGTTTGTCTGATCCCTGCGACGATCGGC